ATTCTAATATTTTAACTAATGTATTATATACTTTTGTAGATTCTCAAAACTTATGGAATAACTCAAAATCCAGAAACAAAATACTATATGATGGTTTTGAATGACTAATGTAAAAAATGTAATCATACATGTTATGCAGTTCATTTTCAACAAAATTTTGTAAATTGGACCAGTGGTAATGATAATGTTGATAAATTTATTCAAGATATCCAGTTATTATTAGCTCATAAAAGTGTAAGAGAAGCATTAGAATGGATATCTTATGATAGATTTTATAATATAAATTATATTACAAAAAAAAAAGTATATAAAGCAAATTGGATTGATGGAAATATAAGTCACTGGAATAGTGAAAAACAAAATTGGGAAAGAGAGAATAAAAATATAGTTGTAACACTGAGAAGATTAGATAATCCAAAAAACATTACATTAGAATTTATAAATAAGGTATAACGAATTCGTACTTTAATGAAATTTTTGAAATTTTTAATTTACTAATACTGTATTAAACTTGTAGATTAAAATAGATCATTTATTTTATGGAATAACTCAAAATCCAGAAACAAAATATTACATGATAGTTTTAAATGATAAATGTAAAAAATGTAATTGTATATGTTGTGCAATTCATTTTCAACGAAATTTTGATAATTGGGCTAGTGGTAATGATGATATTGATAAACTTATTCAAGATACTCAGCTATCAGCTCATGGTAGTAATCATGACAATGATGTATTTAAAGATGTTTTAGAATGGATACCTTATGATAGATTCTATAATATAAAATATATTACAAGAGGTGGATTTGGCAAAGTGTATAGAGCAAATTGGATTGATGGATACATAATTAATTGGAAATCTGGTTTTTGGAACAGACATAATGAAAACATGTTTGTAGCTTTGAAGAGTTTGGATAATTCAAAAAATGTTACATTAGAATTTATGAATGAGGTATAATTTAATTATTTTGATTTATTATTTTCGACAAGATATTAAAATCGCAAATTGTATTAATATTATATATCTTTATTTTAATATAGATAGCATCTCATAATAAAGGAAAAATAAATAATACTTTTATTATTGGATTTTATGGAATGACTCAGGATCCAGAAACAAAAAATTATATGATGGTTTTAGATTATGCAGAAGATGGAAGTTTACGAAATTATTTAGATAGAGAATATAGCAAATTAAATTGGGATGAAAAGATTGAATATATGTTTGATATTATAACTGGACTTTATCGGATTCATAATAAGGAATTAATTCATCGAGATTTGCATATTGGGAATATATTAAAACTTAAATATAGGATCGCTATAACTGATATGGGATTATGTAAGCCTGCAAATTACATTGCATTGGAGAATGCAAAAAATAACATATATGGTGTTTTATCTTATATAGCTCCTGAAATTTTAAGAGGACAAAACACTTATTCTAAAGCTGCTGATATTTATAGTTTTGGTATAATAATGTATGAAATAATTTCTGGATTACCCCCATACCATGATATAAGCCATGATGAAAATTTGGCAATAAACATTTGCCGAGGACTTAGACCAAGGTTTAATGCTAAAGTACCTCAATTAATTGTTCATTTAATTAAAAGATGCTTAGATGCAAATCCACTAAATCGACCAATGGCAGGAGAGATTAAAGATACTTTACGTAAATGGCAATATATACCAGCAGAATTGAAAGCACAAATTGAAGAAGCAGATGAATTTAATAGTGACAATCTACCAATTGATAGTGTAACTTTAACTAATTTAGGCTTATCATATGAAATTCATTCAGAAGCTATTTATACGAGTAGATTGCTTGATTTCAATGATCTTCCTGAACCAAAAAATTCCGATGATTATTACAAACAAAATGATAATATTATAAGCAAGAAATTTTCAGGTAATTAGCTTTAATTAATGAGTTGGTTATTTTAAGTATGCGAATCATTTATTAAAGATGCTAATTAAATTTTTTATTAAATAGAATCGTTACAAATTGATATTTCTCAATTGAATACTAGTCAGTAATTAAAATTAAACTTTAATTTATAAGATTAATGGATTATTAATGATATTTTTATTTTTTTCTAATGATTTAATGTTATTTTATTTGTTTTCTTTTAGGTCCAGAATAACAAATTAAAAGGTACAGAAACGTTTTGAATTAAAGTCACAACAAATTTTAGTTGGAGTTACTTAATGGTATATAGTGAAATATTTTCATTAAAAGCATTAACTTTTTTTTATTTTTATATCATTACAATTTATAGTCTGTCTAAATTTAGCTTTCTTATAATAAATATATTTTTAAATGGAGTATTTTATTTAGATTTAAATTTATTTATTTTTACTTTTCCAATTTAAAGGAATGGCAATTTTTTTTTACAACTAAATTAGTGAATAGGATCTTGATTTTATATGTCATTAAATTATATAATTTTATAAATTTGGCTTACAAATAAAGCAAGTAACAATTTAACAATGATTTTATATTATTTTATGCAAACTCTCAGTATTTTTTTTTTTCAAATAAAATTCCTTTTACTAACATTCTATAGTATAAGTAGTCTCGTGTTCCAAACTCAAAATTTTAATGCTGTTTTTTTAATAAGAACCTTAGTATCCCTACTACTAGATATGTAAGTGAAATCAAATTGATACGATTTGTAGCCAAAAAATTTTTTAATATCAACTAGTTAATTAGCCATTAAGTTTATTAATTACCTAATTTAGAATTTTTTGGATGTTTAAACCTCTAGGCTGGGCTAATATATGATGATAAGTTTAAGAAAGTTTTTTACTCTGCTTTGAACACACGTATTAAAATCATATTGTCTTTACAAAATTCTTCAAGATGACCAGACCAGCCACGGCAATTAAACAACTATGAGAAATTGCAACTTTAAAAGAAGTGAAAATATACATTGATAAAATAAATACGTATTTAATTTTCATGTATGTAAAATTATTAATTCATTAGTATGAGTCGTTATTATTCAAATTTTTTACATAGTCATGCGCTTGATGTCATTTGTAAACCGCAACATTTTTTTTTTCTCGCTTACTTTTCTTACTTTTGTATTTAATAGTAGAAATGTATAAACAATTTTTTTCAATGTTAGGTAAAATTACATTGTAGTTTTGGAAGATATGAGTGTTATGGAAACAATGGCATTACTATTGAAGTTTGGTGATGATCAAAACAAAAATATTCAATTCTCCTACTATATTATCGTTCTCCATTTTTATGATGAAATTTGACCTAAAAAAAAAAAATAATTATGATATCTTGGCGCATATAAAGTTTTCAAATATTTCACACAAATTTTTAGGTTATTTTAAAGTAAGTTGCATTTATATTTTCTATTAATTTCTTATCATTAATATCTTAGATTTATCTATGGTATGTTTATGTTGGTATAGTTCTAATTGTCAAATCTTATATACAAACAGCCGATATACGGATATACCAGATAACTCAGTCTCAAATCCTTATCTGTAAATTATATTTATTATTTTTTATCTGAAATTATTTTTGCTTAGTTGCATAATTTATAGTAGTCAACTGAGATTTATATAATATAATCACATTTATTACATTGAGTAATTGACTATTTGCAATACAAAATACGATTATTAAAGTATAGATAACTCATAATTTCTAGTATATATTAAACTAGGGAAACGGAAACCGGTATTAAGTTCGAAGTGACGGTTAAATCACAAAATCTGTCACCTAGTAAGGACAGTTCCCGTGATGAGCAGAATAATTGGGAATTACCGGACATAAAAAGGTTCCTTGTGATTTATTAAATGTGGTGAAGCCTCATTCATTTATTTTCATTCATAAAATTTAAGACGTCCTCCTCTTATTTTCAATTATGATTGAAGCTTCATATATTGTAGTGTAATTTATATTGAGAATTTCAAGATTAACATTTTAAATAGGTTTTTATTAATAAACTAAATTCCATTATCGAAAACCATCATTTTAGAGTAGATCCTTATGAAGTTGAATTAGCGTTAGAAAAAAATGAGGATTATCTCAATCATAAATCTATAATAATTCAAAGATTTACTTTACAAAACTTCACAAAATTAAAACCTTTAAAAAAAAATACCAAATAGATACTTGTTATGATAAGTCACGAGTTTACCACGGAATGATCTAATTATTTTTGTTTCCTAATGTAGTTATGCTTGATAATAAATTCCTTTAGTAATTGTGTTTTTTTTTTAAAAAAAAAGTCTATAGAATAGTTACTTAATAACAATGGAAAATTTTTTTTTTTGATCATTGTGCTTACACAAATCAGGATGCTTACACATGACAGATACAGTATTTCTCATTATATCTTTCAATTATTAAATAGACTTCACAAACCTAGCATAAATGAGATATAATAAATACTCACATCAGAAATTTTTATAGGAATGGGACTGTATTGTATGAGAGGTGATATTAGAGATTGTAATTTACTATTAAACGTAAAATACATGCTTTTGGTCTATCCATGGGTTGATAAATAAATATTTCAAATGTGAAAAGAATAGTATATGATTTTTTCATCCATTTTTAATTGCAATTTTATTAAATAATATTAAACTGATGAATTGCTATATTTACTAGACAAATAAACTTAATTTATTTGATTCAGAGTTTATTAATGATTTATATCATTTTTAGCGAATTCTAGTGATTCTTTATCAACTTATACTACAGAATATCACGATTCAAATTTATACATCCATCATCATGTAACAATAAAAAAGCGTATCACGTGGAATTAATGGAAATTTCCTGGCTCGCACTATCAGTTGTTTCTCAAATCACGGGATGTGCGGCTAGTTAGATTCTGTGTAGCATCTAACACATCACTCGATATTTTCATAAAACAGGCGGAGTCTCTCACCATGAAAAAATATCACAACTATCAAGTGGAGCGATGATTGATAATAAAGACATTTGTCATCATCATTTGCCATCGTCAAAGAGGTTGGTCATCATCTTCCTTTCCCAAGTCTATTTGATGAGATGTAGTACATGCTCTATTATACCCGGAGCTATTGACATCTCTATTAGATCCCGCACTTTCCGTTCCAGCTACCATTTCCAGAGATGATGATGTTAACGTATCTTTCACATAACTCGCAGATCCTTCTGCTTTATTATCATTATGCTTGATCTGTTCATACAATAAATAATAGAAAAATTATTAAGAAATCCCGTGAACAAACCCTTATCATAGGATTATACTCTATACCGACTTCTTTGAGGCAGATGTGTCAATTGATTTTTTATCCTGCAGATATAATGTTAGTCATTAAAAAAATGCTCACTATAAAATTCAAGACGACATTTTTATGACAAAAGGTTATTATTATATTCTTATTCTAACCTTTGGTAATGATTGATTTTTTTTTTCGCTTTTGTCCATTGACTGGATCAGCTGTAGAAATAGACTCAATCAGTACATCAGAAATTATAGGTAGTTTCCTGTATCGATATTTTTACTATTCATTTTCCGGCGAAGCATGCAGTTCACGTTTGCAATAGCCGCTTATTCTATTAGTAAAAAGGAAAATAATATTAGTATTATGGTTGAATGATTATTATAGAAACTGCGGATAACTATTTGGGCAATTAACAAGTTCTGGGCAACTACAACTGAAAGTTGCGGATAACTAAAAGTTTTAGATGACTAAAAGTCGCAGAGAACTGAAAGCTTTAGATAACTAAAGTTTGGATAATTAAAGTTCTACACAACTAAAAGTTGCGGATAACTAAAAGTTTTGGATGACTAAAAGTCGCGGACAGCTAAAAGCTTGGATAACTAAAAATCGTAGAATGGGTACAATAGTTCGGGAGGACATAAAATATAGACCTGAAGAATAGGTCAAAAGGCTATTAGTTTTCTTTATTTTCTTGGTATCTAAACTTTTATTAATAATCGCGCAAAGACTTTTGTTAAGCGCGTCAGTTGTCTTTTCGTAATTAAACTGTTTATAATCTCCTTCATGAATACGATGAATACGTTCCCAATTTTGTTGGAAATGGAAAATCGACCATGTTCCAACATCGTTTTCGTTAAAATATTCACGCCATACTTTAGCCATATTCCTACTAAAATGTAGAAAAAATACAAAAATACACGTCAAAAAAATCAAGAAATCGTTTTCTTTGAATTTTTGTCTTACTGTGGATCTATAAATTAATGATCACATGATAGAATTCTTGTGATCGCATGTAACGCACATAATACATGTTTTAAAGCCTGAAAGATGGCAGATGCAATAGACATTTTCCGAAAAAAAAATTTTGATTCAAATGTTCAAAGTGTATTAAGTGTATTAATTTTTCAGATGATAGAGGTAACGATGAAATGTATGATGTAATGCGAGTCCCAGCATCAAGTTATTTCTTTGCTTAAAGCAGTTTCATCACGCATGTCACACAGTATTGCACATCAAGAATTTAGTAGTAGCTCCTGCAATAAAGCATTGTATCATATATGAAATCATATTTATTTTTTGGGTGCACATTAAAAACACTAATTCGATATGGGCGAACTTTATTAAATGCTTCAACTACCGTTATTATCCAATAATTTATTATTATTATGCTAATATATAATATTTTTTTTTTGTTAATTAACCTAATTAACGAAAAAAAAGTTTAATTTGTCTTATTAATTATATTTCATTTCGTTCAAGATAATGCGGTTGGCCGCAGCAGATCGCATTACTGAAGCTATCTAGTTAAAGTATAACGGACTTTTTTTTTTAATATACTTTTTTTTCAGGTTTTATAAACTGGAAATTTATTTATTTTTTTTTTAAAAAAAAAAAAGAATACCTTTTTTTTTAATTCTTATAAACCGAAATTTTTAAAAATAATACCACTTTTTTTTCCAGTTCTTTCAGACAAAAATTTCTTTTTTTTTAAATTGAAAAAAATTTTATTAATTGGTTTTTGGTTTTTTATTTTTTCATTTTTCTTTAAAAAAAACTATATTTTATTTTTTCTGTCTTTTAATTATCAATTATATTAATAATTAACGATAGAAAAGATATTTTTTTTTCATTATCATATTTGTTTTTTATTGTATTTATTTAATTATAACTAACACTAATAAAAAGATAATTTTTTCGGTTGCCTCCATACTTTAACATAAAAATATTTAATTATATTGACTATTGAATTTACTGAACGGATTTATCAATTCTTTAATACCGTGGTTATTTTTATATAAAAAATGTAAGTGGATGAATAAAAAAGTGTAAATTGGTAGGCGAAAAAAACCTATTTATGGATTTTGTATGACTCAGAATAAAAAAAGATGTTTGTGAAATTGCTACTTTTCCATTTAAAAATGAAATTTATAGTAAAGCAAAAAAGTATTTTGCTAGTTTTTTTTTAATCTGTGAAATGATCAATAGTTAGTATAAGATTGTAATATGTCATTACATTCTTGTTTGAGTAATAAGACTGATTGTATTTCGCGTTTCAACAGAACTTATTTTTTTCAAAACTGTGGGAAAATTTAAAAAATAAAATTTTTTGTATTTTTTGTATATTTTTTTATTTATATTATACAATTATATTTTTCATATAAAAGTTTTACAACAAACATTACTTACTTTTTATTTATTCCTTTACATTTCTTTACATTTCTACAAAATTTCTTTACTTTGATTCTCTTCCTTTATTACTCCTAATCACTTTTCCCTTTCCCAAATCAATATCTTGGTTTAGGACTTTAGGTGGTGTGGAAATTGTTTGGAGAGTTATAGTACTATGAGAGGGACATGGGTGCCTACTTTTTGTAAGCTTGTGTTAATTTTCATGGTTGGAACATTATATATATTGCATTTCTTAATTGTGGTAGGCCGTTGTACATAATAAGAAAGCATATGATAAATCTTAAAAAAGCGAACTGTACTAAATGGAATTTTTATAGTATAAAATTTTATTTTTAATAACAAGTTACGTATTTTATTCAAGTGCATGTATGTGACACTGTCGCGGAACTATGACATGATAATATTTGAAAAATCGAATTTTAGTTTCTAAGTAAAACTTCATAGAAAGAAACCAATAATTCAGAAATGTCTTCTGGAAAAAAATTTTATAAATTTATCATCTAGGTAAAGATATTATTAATGAAGAGAGAACCAACTTTCCTCTTAATTTAAAATTAACAGATATTTTTTTTTTTCAGTAAATAAATTCATAATTTTTATTACTCACGTTGTAATCATTAATTCCCACAACTACTGTATTATTAAAAAAAAGACCTGCTAAATAAATTACTAGTGAATAAAACATCTTAGTCTATTAAGAACTTAATACTCTACATACTAATTTCTAATATAAAAGAATCAACTAAAAGTATGACGATGATTTATATTTTTAATTCATATCTTCTACATACTCTTCAGATTCACATTTAAAGCTTTTAATTACTCCATTATTTTTATATTTATCAATCAAATTTTTATAATCTTCTTCTTTATAAATAGAATTGGATGTAAGTATAGAAAGTGCAGGTCGACCTCTCCATTTTTCAAAGAATTCTTCCAAGACTTCCAAAGAAACATTAAATTCATCAAAAAATCTAATTTCTCTTAGATTAATTGGTGCTGATTTAATTAATATTTTTAATATTTCTTTTCTATTTTCTAAAATTTCTTCTTCAGTTTCGAATATATAACTATTTGATGTAATTAATAATAATGACTTCAGATTTTGACATACTTGTAATAATTTTTCAAATTCAATGAAATGATTTTTTGATGGCATAAGTGCAAGTGATAGATATTCAATCAAAGGACAATTTTCATAAATTTTACAGATAAAAATGAGAGATTCATAACTAAAATTATCTAAATCATGTAAATAATCAAGAGGTTTTAATGAAACTTCTTTAAGATGTCCTCCACTATTTTCAATTATAATTGAAGTTTCACCTATTGAAAGATAATCTATATTAAGGATTTCAAGATCTTTATAGACTAATGTATCCAATATATTTCGTTCATCAATAAAATCAAATTCATTAGTTTTTAAAGTTTTTATATTATGAAGTTTTGGAAGTAATCTTTGCATTGTTGCATAATCAGAATTATTAACATGTAGGAAAAATAGTATAAGATGATTAAGAAAGCCTGCCTTTTTTTCTAATTCAAGAAAGGTTTCTTTATAAGGATCATCTGTAAAATAATCAATCTCAAAATCATCAGTCCATTCAAAATATTTTAAATTCTTCTGAACTTCAATTAATTTAGCAATTCCAGAGTTGGGCTTTGGTACTACATTAACAATGATGAGTCTCTGTATATATTGACAAATACTCGCTAATCCATAAAAGTATGAAGGATCAATAGATGTGTCACATTTTAGTTCACATAATGATTCAAGACGATTTTTAGCTTCCGGAATATAAAATATTTGATGTTTAATTAAATTCATATCTAAACACTTCAACTCTGGAAATTTCTTCATAAAGAGACAATAAAATTCTTGTTGTAAAAGAAATTGATTATAAGCTAAAGAGGATCCAATAGAAGTTATAGTATTCAAAGTTTTTACATTAATACTTCTACAGAATGATAAATAATCAAACAAAAGTGGTTGAAATGAAACTGATGGTAATTGTATTCCTTGTCTTATTAGGAATTCTTTAATATCATCAGATAAATATGAAGCAATGATCATAAATAAATAATTTTTATTACTATACTTTATATCATAGCACCAGGGATTTCTCCATAAAATTGGAATCACCGTTTCACACCAAATTTTATTGACCATTAGACAAGAAAAGAGAGATTTTGAATCGACTTGTAATTCTTCAAATATTAAGAGAAGAATATCTTTATTGAGTTTTGCCATCCTTTTATCCAAAAATAATGAAAAACAGTTTAGAATAAATCTTTTATAATTGAAATTTTTTTAAAGCAATTTTAAATATGATTTTACAAAAATGTTAAAATTATTATTTTTTTTTTAAAAAAAAAATGAATAAAATAAAAATAAAAAATATGAAACGAAAAACTATTAATAATAAATATCGGAATCAAATTCCGGACAAATTAAATTGTACTGTGCGACCGTGGTACCATGCGACCATGATGATGATCAAACGCATCCCTGTAATGTGTGACAGGTTATATCGATTATATTGTACCTTGAGATACTTTTTTGGAAATAATCGACAAAATGATCACATGCGCCACAGACAATTTTTCACGAAATTTTTTCTATTCAAAAAAACAAGCCTCAATAAACTTATGTTCACGCATTTGAAATTACATATATAGGTGTACTTATGTCCGATCTATAAGCTTACTTAGAGCAACAAAGGGGTTTTTGCCGTAAAATTTGACTTAAACGCTTTTTATTGTAAAAATGCGCCACATACTTTAAGTGTATAACAGGGATCGGTAAGTCGAAAAGGAGTTGTGTCGGGTTAACCAAATAAGTATTGTATGGTGCTGTAATCGCTATTGAGTATGGTTTTTATAGTAAACTATACTTAGCTGCTTGTTGACAATCGAAATGAGTATTATATATTTATTAATTTAAAATTTATACTCAACTGCCATATAAAGAAGATTAAAAATATAGCAACCATATATTGTTATTATTTATTTAAAGTTTGTATATAGTGTTGAAATAGAAAATAAGAAAAATTTAAATTTTAAAACGAAGTATTATATTTGAAATACTTTTGTTAGTTAATATTATTGGTTAATTAACCAATTTTAATTGACGCTCTTTTTCACAATTATATAATTCCATTTCACGAATTTAGCTTCACGTTCCCTTAATACAATTTCTCTTTCTTTTGATGCTAAATCATTTTCACGATATTCAAGCTCTTTAACCCTTAAAGTCAACTCGTTCTCTTTATTATGATTATTTTTTTCATAATTATCATCTTCACAACAATCTTCTTCAACATCGGTATCAATTGCAATGGTTTTTTGTTCTTTTTCTTGTTATTATTGGATTGCACATTTTGTTTACGCTTCACGGGAACTGATTTTGCAGTATTTGGTCTTTTAGTCTGCATGCGGGCTAATAATGATGTATAAATAAATAAATAAATAAAATTAATTAGTTAACCTTTAAAACTTTTATTTCTGGTATTTTGATATGTAATATTATTGCCTTTACGTTTATTTGACTGCACACTTCGTGCAATCTTTCTTGCGTCCCCTATAATAAATAAATAATTTTTTAAATTAAAGTGATACTCATTATTTTTTTTTAAAAAAATAAATATTTATAAATATATATTTCATACTGAATAATAGCAGTTACTAATTTGAGATTCTTTCCACGACGATTGCTTAATACATGTGCTGCCTCCGCAACATTGGTATTATCAGGAGACGTTTCCCATACCTCATTGTTGATCTTTGTTTGACATACATTTGTTTAATGACGCAATCACCCATTTTTGACGGTAAAATTCGATCCAATCTAATAAAAAATTAATAAAATTAATATAAATTTTAATATATAAGTAAACCAACTTTATTATTAATCATAAATACAAACCAGAAGTATTTTCATCAGCCATTTGAATATTATTAAACAATTTATTAATTATATCTTCCGATTCAGCTGCAAGAAGTGCATACATGTCATTCTAAGCCATCACAAACATTAGTCAGTGAAAAGTTGAAGAAGCTCAATATGCTGGTAAAAAAGAGAAGAAAAGAAATTTATAAAATTAAGTAAAAAAAATGTCAAAACTAATTGGTGAGACAAAACATGAATAATAAACATTAAAATTACATTCTTGTGGTTCATGTGATAAGTTTTTTTATATATAAATTTTTGTAGCAAATTTTCGTCACACAATTCAAAGATTTATTTATACAGGTAGCTTAAACATGACACCACATGACTGCAATGATTTTATATATAAAGATTTACTACTTCTTTATATTGCTATTTAAAGAAAACTCTTCCGCTAATTTTTGGTGCAAAAATTTTTATGGCTGCTCTATGCTTCATAACAGCTCTTTTAACTAAAAGCCTTATTAAAGAATTTTATTTTCCTACTCAATAACACAAAAACCTGATTCTTATTCCGGATAGACCTGATTTTAGCGACGAATAAAAAATCTACCTAAAAGCGCGATTATATCGTAATTCTGCTTAAGATAAATGTGTGACAAATCACATTATATTACACAAAATTCTTGCACGAAATTTTTTTTTTTATATCAATTTAAAGAGCTTCATCACAAGATAAAGAAATAGCTGTATCCATTATAAATTATTTGTCAAAATTTCAATTATATAGGGTTTATTTAATGAAATCATTTAAAATTGATAAAATTTCAGAAAAATTTTCCGATTTTAAAAAATAGAATTTCTTATAACACTATGAATGATTTTTAAATATCTCGAACTTTGAGATTGAAAATTTGATTATAATGATCCGTATAAACAATAAAAAGAATTATAATCTATTCCTTAATATTAAAATTAGATTACATGCTATTTTTTGATTCCGTTTCCGCCGTTAAGTGGTTTTACTGGTTTATCGTACCAATAAAATTTGAACAATAATAGTAATAACATTAATAATTTAAAATTTAAGTGATATAAATTGTGAGTAGTAAATTAGATTTGAACTTAAATAAATACTGTATAGATTTTAAAAATTAATTTTTATTTACTACAATCACGTGTTTTATAAAATAAGCATCACATGGCATTGTAATACGCTGTTTGATCGTCATTATGGTCGCATGGTACCGCGGTCGCACAGCACAATTTACTGGTATTTATTATTAATAATTTTCTTTTACTTATTTTTATTATTATTATTTTTTTTTTTTTAAAAAAAAAAAAAAAAATTTTAACATTTTATAAAATTATATTTAAAGTTACCTCAAAAAAAAATCCCAATTATAAAAGATTTATTCCAAACTATTTTTGGATAAAAGGATGGCAAAACTCAATAAAGATATTCTTTTCTTAATATTTGAAGAATTACAAGTTGATTCAAAAACTCTCTTTTCTTGTCTAATGGTCAATAAAATTTGGTGTGAAACGGTGATTCCAATTTTATGGAGAAATCCCTGGCGCTATGAGATAAATTATAGTAATAAAAATTATTTATTCATGATCATTGCTTCATATTTATCTGATGATATTAAAGAATTCCTAACAAGACAAGGAATACAATTACCATCAGTTTCATTTCAATCGCTTTTGTTTGATTATTTATCATTCTGTAGAAGTATTAATGTAAATACTTTGAATACTATAACTTCTATTGGATCCTCTTTAGCTTATAATCAATTTCTTTTACAACAAGAATTCTATTGTCTCTTTATGAAGAAATTTCCAGAGTTGAATTGTTTAGATATGAATTTAATTAAACACCAAATATTTTATATTCCGGAAGCTAAAAATTGTCTTGAATCATTATGTGAACTAAAATGTGATACATCTATTGATCCTTCATACTTTTATGGATTAGCTCGTATTTGCCAATATATACAGAGACTCATCATTGTTAATGTAGTAACAAAGCCCAACTCTGGAATTGCTAAATTGATTGAAGTTCAGAAGAATTTGAAATATTTTGAATGGACTGATGATTTTGATGTTGATTATTTTACGGATGATCCTTATAAAGAAAGCTTTCTTGAATTAGAAAAAAAGGCAGGCTTTCTTAATCATCTTATACTATTTTTCCTACATATTGATAGTTTTGATTATACAATATTGCAAAGTTTACTTCCAAAACTTCATAATATAAAAACCTTAAAAACTAATGAATTTTATTTTATTGGTTTTACTGCTGATGAAAGAATTATGTTGAATACATTAGTCTATAATGATCTTGAAATCCTTAATATAGATTATATTACAATAGGTGAAACTTCAATTATAATTGAAAATAGTGGAGGACATCTTAAAGAAGTTTCATTAAAACCTTATGATTTTATATATTCTCAAGATAATTTTAGTGATGAATCTCTCATTTTTATCCGTAAAATTTATGAAAATTGTCCTTTGATTGAATATTTATCACTTGCATTTTTACCATGCAAAAATCATCTCATTGAATTTGAAAAATTATTACAAGTATGCCAAAATTTGAAGTTATTATTATTAATTACATCAAATTATTATGAAACTAAAGAAGAAATTTTAGAAAATAGAAAAGAAATATTAAAAATATTAATTAGATCAGCACCAACTAATCTAAGAGAAATTAGATTTTTTAATGATTTTAATCTCCCTTTAGAAGTCTTGGAGGAAGAATTCTTAGAAAAATGGAGAGACCGACCTGCACTTTCCATACTTACATCCAATTCTATTTATGAAGGAGAAGATTATAAAAATTTGATTAATAAATATAAAAATAATGGAGTAATTAAAAATTTTAAATGTGAATCCTACCTATATGTAGAAGATTTGAGCTTTAAAATATGAATAATTGCCACGCTTTTGACTGATTCTTTTATATTGGAAATTAGTATATAGAGTATTGAGTTCTTAATAAATTTAATAGACTAAGTGGTTCTATTCACTAGTTATTTATTTAGCAGATCTTTTTTTTTAATAATAGTTGTGGGAATCAATGATATTGAGTATTGAATTATGTACTAGTACAACGTGAGTAATAAAAATTATGAATTCATTTACTGAAAAAAAGTATCTGTTAATTTGAAATTAGTAAGAGGGAAGTTGGATCTCTATATATCTTTTCATTAATAATATCTTTACATAGATGATAAATTTATAAAATTTTTTTCCAGAAGATAGTTCTGAATTATTGATTTCTTTATATGAAGTTTTACTTGGAAACTAAAATTCGATTTTTCAAATACTAGTTATCATGCCATAGTTCTGCGACAGTGTCACATACATATACTTTGAATAAAATACGTAACTTTTTATTAAAAATAAATTTTGATACTATAAAATACCATTAACAGTTCACTTTTTTAAGGTTTATCATATGCTTTCTCATATAATTATGTACTAGTACGGCCCTACCACAATTAAGTAATGTACTATATATATGTTCCGACCATGAAATCGCCACAAGCTTACAAAAATTAGACACCTATGTCTCTCACATAGTACTATTACACAAAACAATTTCCACATCACCTAAACCAAAGCGATTAGTGAGTAATAAAGTAAGAGAATTAAGGCAAAGAAATTTTGTAGAAATGTAAAGAAATGTAAAGGCCAACCTAAACCAACATCATGGCAAAGTATATCGGCTTAAAGGATCAATCAAGCGAAATCAAGCCACTTAAAGGGCATTCAAGCCAAACCGAGCCAAACCGTATCGGCTTAAAGGGCATTCATACACATATACTTTCGTGTTATTGCATGTAGAGACAGAATAAAAAAAATAGTTTTATGCTCATATCGGCTGTAGTTATACCTACTGGGTAGTGAATTTTATATGTATTTGTTTATCCGTTCCTAGGAGATTTTGCATTAAAAATTAACATCATACTATGATAGACGGCTTTGAAAATATGAGTAATTCAGACAGATTTGCATTTTCTAAATGAGAATAACTTTCTTTTAATTTATTTGTAATCTCAATATTATTTTTCAAGTGTAATAATAGTTCCGAAGCTTTTAAAAATTTTTAATCATTTTTTTTAAAATCTTTGAATGAAAAAAAAACAAAATGAAAGAAAATGGGATTCAACAATAAAATATACTATATTTATACTCATGATGGGAAAGTGATATACCATAAAACAAGGTATTCTTTAAAGTTGACCAATCTGATATTACAGTTTTACTTACTATACTTAATAAAATATAAACCCTGGGTCTTTGCCCTATTTGCAAATTTATGCCAAAGAGAAGATTTTTAAGTTAAAATACAGAAAGCTTTTAGGGAAAATGAAATTTTTGTTTTTTTTTCTAAAAAAAATTTTATTACCTAAAGTTCCAAATTTTTTAGTTAGTATTTAATTAAATTTATTTAACATATTTATCTTTTAAAAGATTATGTTTACTATTTAGTTTTTTATTTATATGGGTGTGGTGAATTTTATCCAAATGAAATTAGCAATACTCTAATAAAAAATAGAAAATAAGTAAGAAACTCTTGCATGTACTGTAGCAGCATAGTCACAAAAGACATGATGTAAACTTAATTACAAAAATTCTTTAATAATAAAAAATTTATATTTATATTGGTACTTGAATAAATTTTTTAAGCTGTATAATTAACTATTTATTTAGTTAAATGGGTACATCACGGCGGATTTATGAAATACCCTAAATTTGTCCGTCATGTCAAATTAAATAAATATTTGAGTGTCTTTTAGTCACCAAATTTCCCAAATTTATTAGTGAACAGCCAAAAATGAGCCCTAAAAAATTTTTTTGTACCCCAAATCTTGCGTCTAACCAATTTTTCCGTTACCTAACCAATTTTTCCAGTGTTAAAGGTGCGTCATATTTGACATTTTTTAGGAAAAAAGCTTAATGTTTCTATAAGTCAATTTTAATTCCCGAGGGCGCAGCAGGGTTTTTGCCAAATTTCATAAATCCGCCGCAATGATATACTAGTTTATTTTATATATATTGTTTACAAAAAAATATCTCTTAAAAAATTATGGTAATAAAAATAAT